ATGTAAGCAGCATATTTGCTCACATTGTTTCAATACTGCTCATTGGGATGTGTTCATAGCCGTTTTGACATTCGACAAGTTGTATATTTTAGGTCAAAAATCATATAGCACAATACTATAGGCATTAATGAACCGAAAAGCCGGTATTCTAGGTATGATTTGATGTTTGTTGCTGTAGAGAGCATAATTTGTTGAATGTAACGAGCAAAATTCTATGCAACGCGGGTAAATGCTGACCGGTACTGATATTTAGGGTGAACTGCTAATGGTCGATGCTTGTTGTATATATTATTATTTGCTGAACAGATTTCTGAACGAAATGATTAACAACATCACTGAAAAGTTTGAAAAATTTAGGTGAGGAGGGGGCAATTTCTTTAATGGTTTCTAGATTTTGACGGTTACAAGCTTTATGAAAGCTTGATCAGAATGCGTAGTGGAAGTTACATCATAAAAGCTCGTTGGAAAAGTTGCACATTGAGAAAATATGTCTCTTTTCTACACTGTTACACCACCTGTATCACCAGCCAACTCGTTGATCGTCGAGTGACTCGTGCGGGTACCAGCAACATTTTCATTTTTCCCTATCGCGTGCAAGAGCAGTCCAGTAGGTCCTCCTCGCTCTAGCGATATGCTGAGCATCATATCTTTCTCCTATGTATTTCGTGAAGAACTCGGACCATCAAGTCGGTGGTCTTCCTGTAGAGCACTGGATGTCCGGAGGAATCCAGTCGATAATGGTTCTCGTCCATCGGTTGTCGTTGAAGCGCATCACGTGTTATTTTCGATATCTTGGCGTGTAGCAGGGCATCTTTGATCTTTAATCTTTGGCGCAGGTCGGAACTTCGGCTACTTTCTCTCGCCTACGAGATACGGGATACGCCTAGCATCGACCTTCGGAATAAGCGTTCAGCAACACCAAGTGATCTCTCATCCTGCTTACGTAGCGACCAGATTTCTGCTGCTTACATTAGAGCAGGAATAATCGTCGAGTCGAAAAGGTGGCACGAAATCGGATGTTTTTCGTCCTCTTCACTACATCTTCGATGCTCTTAAACATTCCTCAAGCCGCTCGTTTTCTCGTGCTCAACTGTGGAGCTGGGTTGTTCATCATCTTAATTTCGCTACCTGATCGACGTGGAAAATTCGGAGAAGTTTGCCCATTGGGCGTGAATGAAACGTTCAAAACCCGTCCGTTCCTCATGAACATAGTTTTTTTTAGATTTAGTTGAAGACCAATCTTTCCGCAGGCGTTGCCGAAATCGGTCAACAGTTGTTCCGCATGGCTAATGCCTGGTGTTAAGAGAACGATATCATGAGCAAAGCGAATATGGTTTGATTGTCGGCCGTCACTTTTCACTTCTATATCGTCCCAATTCAATGTCCGCATGACGTTTCAGAGGTTGACAGCGAATAATTTTGGTGAATCTGTATCGCCTCGCCGAAGCCCTCTTCTTACGCCGATGATGATATTTTTGTAGAATGGAGATATTTTGGCCGTGAAATCTTTATAGAGGTCACAAAGGGTTATTATGTATGGAGTAGTGACGCTTTGGTTATCCAGAGCCTTTATAACCACTTCTGTTTTGCAATATCAAAGGCTTTCGTCAGATCGATGAAAGTGAAACAAACTGGTACTTTGTGCTCTCGCGAAACTTTAATGAGCCTTGTAATATTGTAGATGCGGTCTATGGTACTAAATCCTTTTCGGAAGTTCGTGTGGCTGTCCCTCGTCTAGTGTTCTCTCAATCCTCTTTAGGATGACTCGAGTGAAGAGCTTACAGACAACGGGCAGCAAGCTAATTGGGCAATAATTGCCTATGTCGTGGAGGCCTCCCTTTCTTAACAACAACACGGTCTTGCTGGTTTTCCATAGAACGGAAATCTTGTATTCTGACAGGTACCATGAGAAGAGAAGGCCACGGTGATGATGAGAACTGGCGGTAGGTTCTTCAGGTGTTCTCGTTAGATCTTGTATGAACTGGGTGTTGTTCTGTTCTTCAGCGACGATACAGCATGTCGAATATTGGAAGGAAGGATCAGTGGAACAGCAGAGTCATCCTCTTTTATGTAATATGACGGTAAGTGGACATGGCCACTGAAGAGATCCGAGTAGTAGTTGTAGACGAATTTCTTCATTGCCCTTCTGGAAGCTGTAAGTGTTACGTCAGGGCATCGGAGAGCAATCATTTCGGTCATATGATTGGCGAAGCTTCTCTGGGCTTTGCGAATGCTGTTCTTAGCTTCTGCAGCTTTTGCAATAACTTCAGCTCGTCTTTTTTTGAGACCTTCTCTTATCGCTTCTCTGCAACGTTTCGCAAGATCGGACGTGGTTTCGGCTGCCTGAAGCTCGTGCGGTTTCACGTTGACGTATCAGCTCGAGTGTCCGCGGGTACAAGCTCCTCTCCGTGACTTTAAGACTCTCGGCTTTCATAGCGATATCGTGAAGATATTCAACGATCTTGTCGCATTCTTTGTCGATGTTGTCTACAACGGTATCTTTCAGGAGCAGACTAGAACACATCCGATTTCATGGTGGTTGTGGGACTTCTGCTTGAATTGAGCGGATTTCCCTCTTTTCGCGAAAAAACGCAACGTTACGCGAAGGAGGCCATGCTCTGGTCCCATGTAGAACATAGGAACAACAGCGACATTGGTCATGCAATACCTGCGATTTGCTAACATATGGTCTAATTCGTTGCGTTACACTCCATAGGGATACTCTCACTTCCATCGCTAAGAGTGAGGTTTTTGGAACTGCGAGTTGCCATGGATGGTTTGAGTCGTCATGACAAGCTCAAATAGCCTTTCACCCTGTTCATTCCATTCTAGTCCGTGAGTTTCTATGTGACGATCTTCTAGGTCCAATTTTCGCGCTAAAATCTCCCACAATGACCTTGAAGAATGTATGATCTTCTCTGAAGATTTTTTCGAAATCTATATAAAACGCTGCAATCGTCATAGCTTGGTGTTGATGCGTAAGCTACGAAAACGGTCGAAGCCGGTATTCAACCACATGGTTTCAACCGTAAACGTCCTAAACGGTTTGTTAGTTGTTCAAATGAGTCGATGTTCACGGTCAAGTTCAATTTGACGAGGACGCTAACGCCGCCGACACCTCTGCTATCGCATGTCCCCAAAACGAGTTCTTCTCCGGTGCCATAAACAACGTGAAAAGGATGGCCTCTTCTTGCCTCAGTCAGGCCAATGACGTCGTTCCTTATCCTTCTTGCTTAAATCAACGGATCTTTTTCAGCGGATTAGGGACTAGGGTTCTTGCACTGTAGGTACAGATTGCCATTTTAGTCCGTTTCGTTCCTGGCAGCCTAATTTGGCTCTGAGATTTCAAGCAACCTCTCCGTACTCCCCCTACCTAGCACTGCCGTACCGGGACTCTTTCGGGGTCAGTGGAATGAGGGCCATATTTGTTACTGTTTCTAGCAAGTTGATGCCCAACATATAGCTTCCTAGGTTCTATACGTGGGGGCTGGGTTCTCGCGAGTAGCTTGCCGGTCTCTCTTGGAGAGCGGGAGGAGCTTACTTGTTGAAGGTGACTTCTAACAGCCTCCCATGTGCTTCCCAGCCGCTTGATTGCAGGCTTTTGGCCAACTTGACTCCTAGAGATAGAGTTTTGTCGAATCAGCACTGCAGAAGCATTGAGCTCATCCCTGAATCCAGCTGCGTTTTTGGGAAGCACGTCTTTGGTTTGCGTTTAACTCTATCCACCACCTGGGGACGCTCCACGTCCCTCGCGACTAATCGGGCAGGATGTCTCAAAGAAAGAGATCCGTGGACACTGTTACATGTCGTCAAAATAAAGAAGCAAGAATTGGAGATCCGTTGCTCCCCTATTAATGTACCTTAATATTGAAAAGTGGAAATTTTTAGAACGCGTGAGCGTTCTTTTCATTAATAAACTTTTATAGATGGTCTAAATTGTCTTCACCGTACGAATTTCACTGTACAGCTACCAATGCGCTCAATGTGAAGTTCAAGAGACAGAATGTTCACTCAGAGCATAAAATGCGATCTTAATTCCCTTGATACAGCGCACGAAAAAATCATTTGCAAAAAAAGCAAACTAGTTTTCAGAATTTACACTTTAAAGTCTCAAGAATCTACACTTTTGAACTATCAAACGGTAGTTAGAACTCTATTGCAAGACCAGGCATAAACGATGGTGAAGCACGCATGTCATCCCGCAAGCGAAACGCAATTTTTGTTTATAGTTTTAACGGCGCATTAAATGCCTAAATTTGCCATTCAACTTCGAAACTAAGTTTATATCTAGAATAAAAATTTCTCAAGCGATCGATTAGTCGCGAAAACTTTGGTGAAAACCCTTTGCTGTTCCAACATCAGGTAAACACGAGTGCAAATCACATTGTGCACATGGAAGAAAAAACGCAGTTTTCTTTTTGTTGCTACGGCTCACTGAAAAAGTGTTTGCAAAAGTCAGGCTTACTATCAGAGCCGCATTTTTTCAGCTATCGATTGACCTCTTGAGGTCCAATAAAAAGTCTATGATCGCCAAAGAGTGAACGAAAATGCTCCTGCACAATGACTGGTACACGTGGTCTTGAAAGGATGAAAAAAAAAGAAGACAGTTTATGAGTATTGAATAAGTCTGATGATTGACAAGCTTGTATCCACTCAAGAAGAGAGTGTAATTACTACAGTTAGACTAACAGCAACGATGAGTCAGTTTTCCATATCATTACCACATACTTGATTCAAATAGAACTCTCTGAGGCTGGCCTCCAGTGAACAACTAAATGGCGTGAATACGACAAAAGCTCTGAAGAAGACGAAATCACCTGAAAGTTAGTATTATTGTGCTGGATGAACATTACTGCTAACTCTAGGCCAGCTCGTCAGAAAAAGAGTGAATTATTTGAATAATGCAAAGGTAGTAAGAAGTCAAATTTGATAATTTTCAAACTTTGCTGAACTACAGAGATTTCCATACACCTAAGAGAATTGAGTTGTGAGAAGAACATCGCCTCAGGCGGGATTCGAACCGGCGTTTCATCCAACCCGGGGACGCGTGCTCTACCATTAAACCACCGAGGTACATTTGCCCGACCACTCATTCTTCAAGATCTCTATGTTAGCTATTAGCCAGCGACCTTCAACAGGTTTCGTAGGGTAAGCTATATTGCTTTATAAACTCAATAGAGCTGATAGCCACTGTAATGACTAATACTCGGATTCTGCGGTGTTTTGATTGCATTTTTTTTTGCAGTGGTACGATGTTTCCCACATGCCTAAGAGAATTGAGCGGTGGAGCAAAAACATCGTGCCACTGCTCAAAAATTCAGTAAAATAGTGTAAATTTTCGAATATTATTAACTACAGCGATACAAACCTTAAATTCTTTAAACAACTCCCAAGACCGACTGTCTATTAACCTCGGCATGCTTCAGTATGATTCTTGATTTTCTTCTTTGAGCAGAACACGAGGTGTTACATTAAACTTTATTCGATGGCTGACGTTTCGGCAGTTCGCCTTCTTCAGAGCCTGGAAAGGTCAAAATGTTTGCAATACAATCAGTCAAACACCTCCATTACTTCTTTAGAGAAAATCACCAGACCTAGATTTCAATCTCATCAAGCAAAAATCAACACTCAACATACTCACCGCTTTTTATATGTGTTCCACTGGATGATCCAAGTGGAGATCACCGGCAAGAGAGACACATAGGCTCGTAATGCACCCTACCCATCAAAACAACAGTCTTATATACTGGCTCATATCACGAGTGTTTACAAGGCATTCCTCCCTGCGGTTTATGGTTGGATTGGTCGTATTAATCCAAAATGCTTCCAAGATCTTTCGCGCTGATGTTTTCTGCTCCTGCGCAAGGATGGTGACTTCGATTTCAAAATCAACTCCGTCGTGCTTCTGTGCTCTATGCGTCCCTAGCGGGGTGTTTTGTCTATTAAGACGCTTGTCAGCTAGGTGTTCTTCTATGCGTGCATAGAGCGGCCTACCCGTTTCGCCAACATATTTATCACTACACGCCTTGCAAGAGATTAGGTAGACTGTACCTACGCTCATGCAATCACCGTCTCTGCCGTTAGGACATATTTTACAATCTTTCATCATACAGAGACGGTCATATAAGCGGTTGCGAACTAGCTGGCGTTTTAGAGTATTCGGTGGTATTTCAATAATGGCCACCGATTGCTCTAAACCCGCTCTTTTCAAACATCGTTTTATAGCTGTACTAATCTCATTTGAATAGAACGGGATGATAAACGGGACTTTCCTTTCAACTAAGTTTTCGTTCGGAGGCGCATTATTTCCTCTAAACCTAAGCCGAGGGGCTACGAATTCGTATCCATTAGAAGTGGCTATTTCCCGCGCCAGTTTCACGGATTCTACTCTCTGCTCCTCCCCAGTACATACATTGGCTGCTGTTCGAAACATGTTTTTTACTAGCGCCTTCTTCGTATGTGAGGGATGAGAAGAGAGATAGTGAACCAAGATATTCTTACTACTTGGCTTTCGGTACCACTTCGTTATGTAGCCGCTCTCAGTTAAGCTTATTTGCACGTTCAAGAATGGAAGCCAATCGTCTTTTGGTATCTCACGGGTGAATCTTATATACTCTGACTGTTCATTCAGCAATCTAAAACAATCATCCAGCTCCTCTTGAGTGGAACAGATAATCAAACAATCATCTATATACCTACAGTAGAGTAATGGCCGGAGATCCATCACTGGTGCTTCCACTTTAGACATAAAGGCAATGGCCAGGCTAGGTGCCAGTCGCTGTCCCATTGCCAGCCCTCTGGTTTGAGCATAATAATTCCCGGACCATCTGAAGATTGAGCAGTTCAAGCACTCTTTTAGTAGGATCATGAACTGCTCAATCGTCAAGCCATACATGTTTACAGCTCCCTGGTGTTGTATAAGAAGCTCATGTGTGGCTTGCAATGCGGAGTCATTCGACACGTTGGTATATAAAGCAGTGACGTCGAATGACTCCATTACGTACGCGTTGTTCGGGTTCGCGTTACGTAGACGATCCAGGAACATCTGAGTGTTTGTCAGATGGGCTGGAATGTGTCCTAGCAACTGGGATGTTATTAAAGTCAAGAACCATGCTATCCTATCCGTCGGTCCGCCTACACAACTGATGATAGGTCTAACTTTGAATATAGATGGATCGTTAGACATCAGATCATCAGTGGATACTAACTTATGTGTTTTTATAAGCAAGTATAAGACAGGACATGTTGGTGACTGGATTTTTAATTGAGAAATGATAGATGGTCTTAAGCCTGCCGCTTTTGCCGTACGGACCCACTCACTGTTTAATTTGCGGTTTTGCCTTTTGAATTCCTTAACAGAAGATGATCGGTAAAGCGAGGCATCTTCGAGATGCTTGCTCGTTATTGCGATATCTAACTGTCGCGGAATCACAACAAATTCTCCACCCTTATCACTAACTGATAGCCTTATCCTACCTTCGCTTATCAACTCTCGAACCTCTTTCATGCCACGTTTTTGTAGTTCGGTGAGGTTCGATTGATATCTTCTCCTGCTATAGTGAGTGAGGGTTCTAAAAGTTTCGTCCGCAAATTTCCGGAATTTTCTATCTACCTCCTCGTTGGGGTCTTGTTGTCTATAGAACGGCTGAGGAAATGGTGGTATTAGTGCCTCTACTTGCTGTTCATTCCTATTAGTCTCTTCAACTCTGGCCTTTTTACGGAGTTGATCTTGCAAATCATGTAAACCACATGCAACCTTGCGCAAGGACACCTTAGAAATGGGTTGAGATGGTGAAAAGCTTGGACCCAGTTCTAATAGCGAGCGCGCACCGTCAGGGAGAGTTATGCCTCCTAGCACTGTGACCCTTGAATTTCTTGATGCATTACTTGCCCTAATGTGACTCGCTTGATCTTCATTAGCGGTATCCGTATGCCTTCTCAAAGTCATGTTATGCGATCTACTCAAAAGATCATCGAATTTTCTCCGCAAAGTAACTTTAGTATTTGACCTAATGGAATCGCAAATCAATTTTGACCCACCAATAATTCTCCTCCAAAGGTTGCCTTCCAAATACTGATCACAATAATATTCCTTCGCCGCACACTTCTTCAGCATAGCGTACAGATTGTCTTGCTTGCTTCGTAGACAGGCGCGGAGCACTTTCATTTCGATATCCAGTATTCGATGGCTGTCCTCTGGTACACCACATATCGCGTGAAGTCGTTTTCGTTTTATGAAGTTCGGAACGATTCGATGTTGTATGCAGCGTCGGAGAAACTTCAAACATTGTCGAGCTAAGACAATTTTCTGCCTTAGTGATAATGCTTCTTTTGTCAGTCGGAAGAATCTTGCTGGTACTTCTTCTAACAACTCCCAAGACCGACTGTCTATTAACCTCGGCATGCTTCAGTATGATTCTTGATTTTCTTCTTTGAGCAGAACACGAGGTGTTACATTAAACTTTATTCGATGGCTGACGTTTCGGCAGTTCGCCTTCTTCAGAGCCTGGAAAGGTCAAAATGTTTGCAATACAATCAGTCAAACACCTCCATTACTTCTTTAGAGAAAATCACCAGACCTAGATTTCAATCTCATCAAGCAAAAATCAACACTCAACATACTCACCGCTTTTTATATGTGTTCCACTGGATGATCCAAGTGGAGATCACCGGCAAGAGAGACACATAGGCTCGTAATGCACCCTACCCATCAAAACAACAGTCTTATATACTGGCTCATATCACGAGTGTTTACAAGGCATTCCTCCCTGCGGTTTATGGTTGGATTGGTCGTATTAATCCAAAATGCTTCCAAGATCTTTCGCGCTGATGACGTCTTAATAGACAAAACACCCCGCTAGGGACGCATAGAGCACAGAAGCACGACGGAGTTGATTTTGAAATCGAAGTCACCATCCTTGCGCAGGAGCAAAAAACATCAGCGCGAAAGATCTTGGAAGCATTTGGATTAATACGACCAATCCAACCATAAACCGCAGGGAGGAATGCCTTGTAAACACTCGTGATATGAGCCAGTATATAAGACTGTTGTTTTGATGGGTAGGGTGCATTACGAGCCTATGTGTCTCTCTTGCCGGTGATCTCCACTTGGATCATCCAGTGGAACACATATAAAAAGCGGTGAGTATGTTGAGTGTTGATTTTTGCTTAAATTCTTTACTAAAAATTTCTTGATGGACACGGGTAAGATCAAATCCAAGTGACTTCAATGTGCTGTCGACAAATGTATTGTAGGTAACTCTGGTGTTCCAAACCTTTCGTTTCATTCTTTAAATGGGCGTTCGACTTCCTTTCATGTTTTTGGAGTCCAGTCCACAGAGTAGCGTTGATGGGCACCTCTGTGCTGATCAGCTTACACTTCCCCAAATATTTTCAGAAAATTTCCAGGATGAATCGTGATGCACGCTATGACGACGATTTCATTTCAGTCTAGGTCTTCTTTCCTAAAAATTGGTTCGCGAAGAAAATGAGACCCTTTCCTGAAAATGCTCATACAAATTGGAGTCGCCCTTTGAAATTCATACTCCGATGAAGAGTGTACTAGGTAATTTATGGAGATGTTGATGAGTATGCGCTAGCTACACGTATTGATTGGAATAGTTTTTTTTTCACAAGATAGTCCTTAAGCAAATGGTTTCACGAATGAAAGATGGTGATATCAATGTGAAAGTATATCAATTCACTGCGTATGCAATGGAGACAGTGGCTGCTAGGTGGAAGATAAGTGGTAGCAATCCAATGCGAAAAACGCTTTGTGTTAGGTGAAATTTCGCTTGATATAAAGTGTAAAACGTACGTTGTCGATAGCTCTCTATAAGGAGTGTAACGCTCCCGAGAGAACTGACTATAAAAAGATCGACAGACGAGGGTTTCTGCCCGGCTGATCAGTCTGTAAGGACGAAACACGTGTCTCGGGCTGTACAAGAGCCCTTACCAGACCACATGACATGTTGGCTCAAATAATAATGAAAGGACCTATTGAAATTTGAGCGTGGTCTTAATAAAGCACTCGAAGGAAAGTTATGAGACAATTCTGTCATCATAAACTCGTC